GCCAGACGGAGTCGCGGTCGGCGTTCCTGCCGCCGAAGCAGCGACGTTGTGGTGTTTGGGTACGGGGTCGGAGGGACGAAGCGCCTCTGTTTCATGAACCGTTCTCATGTGTTTGGCAAGCGCGTCTGATCGAGTGAAGCTGCGGTCGCATTCTACAGAATAGAGGAACAATGTTAGACGTTGCCAAGGGATAACGGGCAGGGAACGTATGACGGGAAAGGTCTAGGAAAATTTACCAGGTAGAGCGCAATAGAAGGGCTTTTCTCGCGTATGGCTTCTCATGTGTGCGCGCAGCGCGTAGCCACTTGCGTGAGTTTGACCCTTTCGACTGCAATCGGACCATTCGCAGGAGTACTTCTTCTGTCGGCTCCCGACATGTTCTTCATGTATGTGCTTCACGAGGCCGTCCATATTGCCGAGATCACCGGCGTCGCATCCATCCCAGCGACAGACAGTGACCTGGTCGTTGCCTTGGCCGCTGTAGTCGTCATCCTGACTGCCGCCTATGAGAGCGAGGGTGTTGGGAGAGTTGGGAATGTCGCCGGAGGTATCGGACGAGATGGAGGTGGAGGGAGAAGGAGGAGGGAGGTCATCTTGGAAAGTGGTCGAAACGGGAGTATTGCGATCCCAAGAGGCAACGCCAGTGCGACGACGCTTTGAGGGAGGCATGTTGGAGCCGGAGGGGGAGAAGGCTTGCTTTAGGTCGTCGCGATCCGACATGTCGTCGGAAGCAATGGAGGAGAGGGGGGAGCCCGGAGATTCTGTCATGGTGGTTGACAGGAGAGGAGGGCCCGCTTTCAGCAGAGTTGGTGAGTGAATAACGGGGGGGAACTGAGCAACAACTGTGGGCCTTGAGGAGTGTTACTGGCACCGGCTGGAGGAGTGAGCCAGGTTTGAGATGTTTGGAAGTTCGATATCCGGCGCCGGAGTATACACTGGGCTGAGCGCCCGGCACGTGATGAGGCTATTGCGCCGCCAATTTTCTTCGCGCCCGAATTTCCTTTTCTTTTCTTCTCCTCTTTTACACTTCCCTGGTCCAAGAGACTGGGAAATAACGCAACTTGGGGATTCGCCTTGAGATCTAATGTGACTCAATTACTCTTCCAGTGGCTAATTGAGCTACTTTCTAGCTAATTGTCCCTTGTTTTCGTGATCTGTCTAACAGATCCTGCCCACACATTGTTTGAGCAGGGTAAGTTGCCGCCAATTTCCTACCACTTTCTTGTGTTTTGAATCTGCCGCAACTTCCATGATGAATTAATCAAGAATTCTGCAATCCTGACAATCTCCTTTTTGTGAGATTGCATGTTGACTCTTCTACACTTGATCTGACCCCTCGTCTGTTTTCATTGTGTCCATGAAGCTTTTCATTGCTGCCACGTCAACACAAGCTGACAATTCTGGCTTATTCAGGATCTTATTATCTCTCCTATACTATACATATATATAGCAATGATATCATATTCATTACCAAGAAATCGCCAAAGCACACGCCCTATGAAGACCGTACAACCGTAGCTTAGTAGCGACTTCCGACCACCTGGATCCGTTCCAAAATGCCCTTAAGCTCGTCCATCTCAGCATCACTAAGGCGAGGCACTCCCTCCAGGTTCTGAGTAACCTTGTCAACCGTCGTACCACCGGGGATGGGAATAATGGTGGGCATTCCCGGCTTGCCACTGAGAGTGAGGATCCAAGCCAAGGCGATCTGTACAGGAGCGACACCCTTGCGCGTAGCCAGGGCATTGACCTCATTGACCAGCTTGATGTTTTCCTTCATGGCTTCCTCCTGGAACTTGGGTAGCATTCTGCGGAAATCGCCCTCAGGGATCTCATTCACACTGGTGAAAGCGCCGGCCAACACACCGCGGCCCAAGGGCGAGTAAGCCACAACGGGGATGTTGAGCTCAGCGCAAACCTTCGCGACGTCATTGTTGAGGATTGTGGTGTCAAAGAGGGACAATTCAACCTCTACCGCTGCGATCGGGTGGACCTTGTGACTGCGTGATCTCGTCAGCTGCCATTACTTATTTCTTCGTGTAACCAGCTTCTGCAAGTAGATGAATGTGTGTAGCAACGTACGCTCTGCGAATAGTCTCTGCATCCACCTCACTCAACCCAATACCTCCAATCTTGCCCTCCTTGACATATTGCGCCAGGACAGTCACTTGCTGCTCCACCGGCACGTTCGGATCCTGTCTAGCGCATTCGAAGATATCGATCTTCTTCTTTCCGTCCAGCACGCGCAGACACTCGTCCACACTCCGGCGGATGTTGGCCTCGGAGCTATCGGGGGTAAGCTCTCCACGCTTCAAGCCACCCTTGATGCTCAGGACGACCTTGTCGGCGTTCTCGGGGTACTTGGTGAAGTATTTGTTCAGGAGGTGGCACGAGTTGTAATCGGGTGTGCCGTAGAGCTCGCCGGCGTTCCAGAAGTTGGCTCCGAGCCTGAGAGTGGTGTTCAGGGTTTCGAAGCATTGCTCGTCCGAGGGAGGCTGAGGGACCCAGGTCATTCCTTTGATTTGACATCATTATCGTCAGCTGCGAAAAAGAATTATGGTGACTGCGGGGTTGATTGTTTTCCAACATACTCATGGTTCCGTAGCCGGTGTGGCCGATTTCGCGTCCGTTGAGGGAAGGCATTTTGCTGGAGGTGTAGTGGCGATTGGGGTGGTTTGTGGTGTTCGATTGGAGGTCAAGATGTGAAGCTCTTGAAGAATAAGAGGTGATGATGATGGATGGTATTTAAGCTCGAGTTTGGGTCGGGGTTGCAGCCCGCAATGAAGAGGGTCGATGAGGGGCTTTTATCTCTGCTTTCCCCCGCCTCAACACCAATATTCGGATTTCCTCGGACATAGTCCTGGATTGTCGCTCTTGACTCACAATTGGATACGAGACCCGCTGATTGTCATTGAGAGTTACGATTAGATTCAATGAGTTCTGTGGATCGGATCTGCCGCGGTATTAATCATGGAGGCCGAGGGGTCCTTCCCGGATTTAGCTGGAGTTAAGCTCGTAGACCGACGGACGGAAGTTAAATCCACCAAGAACGGAGAATCAAATAGATGGACGGAGACCGAGAGGTTCTAGGATCACCAAGTCAATTTTCTACTACTTCAGGTACTAACTCATTATGTAGCTTCCCCTTGCCATTGGACTTCGTCAATCGTGACACGCCGCTGAATACTTTTTCACAAAAACAGAAGTATAGGAGAGACGTCGAGACAAACAAAACACCCGCCAACCAAACATTACAATCCCAAAAGAGTTGAGACAAGAGAGATAGAAAGTATACTCTCAGCATCTCTCAGTGAAGCGTGTGCTCGTCGCTGCTATCTAGAGCATCCTTGACAGCGTCCTGTATCTTCTGCATCAAGGCCTTCGCGAACCCTGAAGCGTCCGATGCAGGGTTCGGAAGGGTGTTACCCTTACTGTTCTTACTGTTGTCAGAGTATTTCTCGTAGTCTTGGGAGGTCGAGTCATCTGCAACCTTATTGCTATCCTTCCCATTATCCGTCGCCTTGTCATCATCTTGATCGACATCGTTGTTTTGGCTGGTCACGGTCTTTGTAGGGCTGTTGCTGTCATCAATGACATCAGGCTGATCGGACTTATCAGGCTCATTGTCTGACTTCCAGTGGTTGAGCTTGGTCAAGTCATGGAGTCCGATAGAGTCAAAGAGGGTGTCGATAAGATCACTGTTCTCGTCGTCCGGGGTATCGGCTTGAGGGATCATTCGCTGTGGCGAGAGAGTCAGCTAATTGGGTGGGTGTGAGTATACAGACAAGAATACTTACCGGGTCAGGAGATCTCGAACTCACCGCTCTCGATACAACGTCCTTCTTGGATGTAGTTACAGGATATGCGAGGGTGAGAGAAGAGAAGGTGAGGAATGTGAGGACCATGCAGGTCACTGATGGCGTCTTGGTGTGCATGATGTTGTGAGAGGGCAGTGAGATGTGGTATAAAAACCAAGAGCAGGAGTACGAAAGGGCAATGGGAACAAATCAAGTGCTTTGAGGAGTAAGTTTGAGGTGAAATTAAATTTGAATGTTCGACGAGACAGTCGAGCCTAGATATACTCCTCGCCGTTGCCCCGGACCCCCTGTGCGATGAGACTTTGCCGACGTGCGGAATGGAAGGGCTGGATAGATGTCGCGGGGGGAATACCTCGCGTTTTGCAAGATCGCGTCTCAAGATAAGATCCAGCCATGAATTGGATTTCGCACGCCACTTATTTCTCAAATTCTGGAAGTTTGCTTTCTACTAGGAGGTAACTAGTCCTCTCAGGCTAAGTTGATACCACCACCGCTATCGCACGGAAACACCAACTAGTCAGAATTTCCATTTCGTGATACTCCCATGGGCAACAAGCAAAGCTGCCATTGTTTTACTCAGTTATCCAGGCCCGATCGAAATGAGACAGTAGCATAGACCCTAAATGGTAGGGATTGACCATCTCGCATTCCAGGGGCCTTGAACATTCCTGCCGGTTGCTTGCCGGACAGGGATAGGCTCGCCACATATCGATATGAGATCATCCAAGGCCAACTGGAATTGAATTCCCAGGAATGTATTCTATCTCTTGAGAGCCGTACCTGCTGGCTGGGAGATATTAGCGGAACGTTCAACCCGACCACCGCAGGTCTGTATTGGCAGGCGTCGCGTCTATAGTAGACTTACAGGTATGAAGTCGAACACTCAACAATCAATTGATAGTTTTCTCATTCTCCGTAGTAGTCCTGTCGCAGTGGCCTTGTCCGTAAGGATGTGTTTGTCACTCATCGGCTCTGGCATAACATCTGTGTCGCACATCTGTACCAGTCCATTCTGATTTCCTCAACTCGGCACAGATAGCTCCATTGTTCTACACTGGAAGTGTAACCAGGTCAACCACCTCGACACTTATTTGAGTCTCCCTGGGCTAAAGTCTCATGAGACTGTTGCACCTCTTCATTTGCAAGATTTGATTGCCACAAGAGCACAAAGTCCTTCTCCATGAGGGAACAAATGTCTCAGCAGTAATCCCATCTAGGGCACAATGCCAAGTCTGAGTCATCTGTGCCTCAAGGCTTGACTTCGAGACGTATCGGTATCTTGTGTATCACCGAATAGACTAGCGACAGGAGGATGAACTTCAGCGCGCATTCATTGGTCTGAATGAGATGGAGGGTAAGCTGAGGGCGGTGCTGGGGCGATGTCGACATCGAGGGAACCGGTTGGCACCCAGCAAATCGCTCGTAATGTCTCACTATGATCAACCTCTTAGGGCAAACGTCAGCTGTCAAGAACACAGGGCAGTTACTGATTGTCACTTAAGGCAACTAACAAGGAATCATAGACTCGATACTGCAACTTTGTGGTTGTGTATGACATTAGGTGAAACATGCAGATTGTCAAATCCACAAGAATACACATGTTACCTTCGCCTGACTTGGGCTGGCTGAGCGCCTACCAAGGTGCGTTGATTGGGCAGTCATCATCATCCTCCAATGCCAAAAGACACGTAAGTGCGTCGTCGTGGGGCCATAATTCTCTCTCTGATAATGGAACAACAGCGTTCAACACGATGCAAGCACTCAGTGAACAACCACAGCCATCTGAAATCCCAAACAAGTAGTCCAGTCGTATCAAACGAGGGTCCAACAACCAGCAGAACAAACCTCAGACCCTGCCTGGGACCTGCTGCAAGAGGCCAAGCCAGCCAAGAGCCATAGTACGCATACAATCAGCCCATTTCCCACCTGCAAACGTATCCCCCTGACCACATGAACCAACCAACGCTCATGCAAAGCGCCTTCATTTCGGCATACGTGATCAGTCTCAAGCAGCAGTAGCAGCAGTAGCCGCCCCCCAAAAGCACCCAAATTCAAGGGTCCTGCCCCGTGGCTGCTTACTAGCCTACAAGCCTGACTCGCTGAGGGGTGGCGCCCGTTATACTTTGCTAGACGACAGTCTGATCCTGTCACGCATATGTCCAGCGGCATTTACTCGTACGTCCACTACGACCGAGAAGGAATGATCTTCTCTGCAGGCTGCGCCGCCGTGGTTTAGTTACTTAACCTTGATATGTTGGAGTAATTCCTCCAGTGTTGGCTGCGTAAGGCCTGCGGTAGCAGCAGCAGCATGGGCGGCGCGCGCACGAGACCTCCGCACTTACAAGGCGCTGATCGAGATCAGTCAACGCAGGAAAGTAAACTCCGTCCCACGACGAAGAAAGTGCTTGGCCGTACGGGATTATGCCTGGAATAATCCGCTCATAATGAAGGTGCGTATACACATACGTAGCCAAGTCGATAGGAAAGCCGAAGGGGGAAAAGGGAATCCGAAACGTCGGGGGCTCCTCCTCCCCCTTCGTCTTCGTCAAAACGCCCTCATCACGACATCGTATCATCTCTGACGGGATGACTGACTGAATGAATGAAAAGACGCTACGTAGACCTCTTCGGGGATGTGTGTGTGCCTTGCACCGATTCGTTTTGAGTTAACCCCGATGAAGGCCACACTAGTTGGTAGGAGCAACAGGCAGAAAAATTTCGATGCCACGGTTCAGGAAGCAAATGAGGCGAAAAAATGGAAAGGAAAATGAAATAAAAAGTTAAGGGAACCCTTAATTGAGGTCCGCCCCAATAGCTTACGGAGGAGCATCCCCGCTTCCATCTTGAATTTCTTCGTTCTTTTACATATCTATACTAGTCTAGTTGGAGAGCCCTAAGCAATTGCTCGGCGACGCTAGGCTGGGCCCCACTGGACACCGGAGCATTCGTATGCACCTACGTATCTAGGTGTCAAGGGAAATGATCCAAGACGGAGGGTCATAAAGTCAACATGATGACGGGGTGTAAACAATGAGATCGGCTCTATACATGGTATGAACTTGTATCCTCGGTACGATCGTGGCCGTTCTGGGGTCATCAGATACCATGGGATGGGCAGCATGGATTGTGTGTGGGTGTGGTGTGTGTGTGTACCGTGTCATGGATGTAGATTAGAATCGATGAAGGAAAACAGGGTATCTTGGTTAGTGTTTGGTTCGACACCTGATCGGTCCCTAACTAAGCGGTCGTTTTACCCCGTAGTTTGTGTGGCTTACGTATGTTCCCAGTCTAACACCAGGTGATCCAGTCTAGTTGCTTCGTGTTGACCCTTCATCCCCTCTCTTTCTGACTCTCTCTCTCTGACTCTCTAGCCTGAAGATAGTGGCATCGAATTGAGCCCTGAAAAGCATAGCTGAACCGGACCTTCAGCCAACAAGCCACCGGGCGACAGTCTAGAACGGAGGGGGAAAGCGATTAGACCTCAAACAGATTAGTCTCCGGCTAATTCATGCGTATCTGAGGACTAATCTAATTCTACGCGCGGCATGTCAAAATCTCGGACCCCACTGAGTGACGTCTCTGCTTACGCAGCTGGCGTTTGCTAGTGGTGGTGGTGAGGTGAATGGTGTGGGAAGTGTGGACTGTGGATATACCTCCGAGGTGGGTAGTTTAGATAGAGAAGTAGTTGAGTTTGGTTGTATTGTTGGACGGAAGAGACAAGGCGTCTTTGCATGGACAATTGGAATCGATATCGGCTAGGGTTAGTTTTAGTTGGATCCTGCGTGACACCACTTCGATGCTCCGACTAAACTTTTATACTGTACAATCTATCAACATGATATGCAATCTGAACAGACAGTTGTTAAATACATCCGAGCGAGCAATATTTTTGACCTAACTGACTCTGACTCTCACCCCCTACACCAATCCCATCAGTCCCCTTCCACTCCACCTGCTTTCTGCACGATAAACCAGAATGAACCCAACCCTCACTAGCGTGTAGCTGAGAAGGCTACTTGATAACAGCCCCACCCCACTCACTCACCAACAATAACCCTTCGTCCCTCTTTCTTCTTCTCCAATCAACCTTTAAAGTTGAATGGACCCCGAGAAGGGCAAGAAAAATAAGAAGGGAAGAAAGTATATGCGTATCCGGAGTAATCTTACTGCCTCGAAAAGGGTAATTTACCCGTCATGGTATCCAATACCGTTACCGGATTACCCCCTCCCCATCCACCCAATCCAATCTTCCCCCCCTTCGGTGTGAATCTTGTCTCATTTTAAAAAATTCCCATTTCTCGGTTCCTGTCCCTTGGATGTGATGGATGGGTCAACTTCTCCCCTCCCCTCCCCTCGGATATCGACTACCGTAGCGAGCTTAGTCGGGACTCAGTGCTACCTTGGTCCGCCGACGCTTGCCCAGCTGCGGTTCCGAACTTTCTTTCCGGACCCTGAAGATCGCAAGGGTCAGGCGCTCGCCCAACTTCGATTTTTGACGAGGAAATTGTGTGCGTGTGCTTGGCAGGCAGTTGTTATTGTTACTCAGCGGCATTGAGGATCCGGACCAACATTCGGTAGTTGTTGGAACGAACCAGACAATATTCTTCAGTCTGAACTACGTAGATCTATTGTGTTTGTTTTTTTTTTTTTTTTTTTTTTTTTTTTTTTTTTCTTTCTTTTTTTCTCTATAATGCTCTATTGTAAAATCTGGAGGTTTTCTTTTTGATAATGATGTTGCATATGCTGTAGGTACGATGGAGTGCAGCACTCAAGTGACAGACCGACCCTACCCGACTGAACCGCCCCTTATCACTCTCCCTCCACCACCACCACCACCACCAAGTCCCCTGCCAACCCGGGATTCCCGCAGTCG